GGGTTGAGCGTCATCCCACAGAGTGAGAGGTCGCTGGTTCAATTCCAGTCACGGCACATGCCTGGCTTGCGGGTTTGGTCCCCATCAGGGTGTGCGAGAGGCAACCAATCGATGATTCTCTTGCACGTCTATGTTTCTCTCTCTCTTTCTCCCTCCTTCCCCCTATCTCTAAAAATAAATAAATAAAATCTTTAAAAAAAAGATTGACCAGACACAAAGCTCATGAGGAAACGTCAAAGTGAGTGCTCTCACCCAGGTGATGTGGGTGCTAAAACCAAGCAATATATCCAGGAACATGATTTTGACATGTGACTCACGGGCCATAATGTATTTATCAATTCTATGTAGCAGGAAAATGTTTCCTCTCTTAGATATAAGCCTACTATTTCCCAATGGATTGTCATTTTTTTTTTTTTTTTTGAGAATTTTTCTAACAGTTTATATGGGCCAGACTGACGTATGTCGAGAAGCAAGACCTCAGATGCTCTTGGAGAAATGAAATTTCATTTGGGTTGGGTGGAGGCAAAGTTCAAAGGCAAATTCACGGCTCAATTTTGAATTAGCAAGTGACATTTAACTTTAGGCTAGACCTTCATTCCTTCTCTATCTGCTTTCCTCCTAATTTTGCTTTGATCTACTTTTCCCACTTTTTTGTATATCTCATCTTGAATGCCATGAGATATCTGTGAAAAGAAGAATATAAACAAGTAAAATATCATTAAGGACAGAGAAAATGAGACTTCCAAGAATCAACTGTGTTATTAATATTTGTATTGCTATTTTACAAAGTGGAAAATAAACTTATTTAGCCAAAACTGAATTTTGCTTCATGTTACAAAGCTGAACACCATGCAGTTCCCATGAAACTGCCCCTAGCCTTTATGAGATCCAGTGCCACCACTTAAAGCCCCTGTGTTAGCTTCTGGTGGGGCTGTCACCATGCCGCAGGTGGAAGCCAAGAGGTCAGTCACTCACTTGGACCATGGCTCTTTCTGAAGCCCTATCTACAATTCTACAATTTTTTATGAGCATCTAAGGAGATAACCCATTCTCCACCTTTTCTGTCCCAAAGTGCAAGATTCTGCTGAATCCAACCGATGACAGGTTAAAAACCTTGATAAGTGACAGATGACAGAAATAATGACTTGAGTTGATGTCTTTCAGTTAACAAAAGCTTATTTTCTGGGAGGAAATGCCTTTGCCTTGTCAAGAAATGTATATAAAAGACACTTACATAGAATACAATTGATAAACGCAATCTGCCCAACCTGATACACCACCACAGCAAATAAGCAGCAGAAGAGAATATCAGGCACAACACTTTAATGCTTAAAGCTTCAGCTTTAACATCTCTTAAAAAAAAAAAAAAAAAAAGTCGACAGTGAATGCTCTCCGTGTCATTTAGCTGTCCTTCTAAGGGACAGAGATGGTGGCCCTTCCCCTCTCTCTCTAGCACAAAAGGCCACGTTACTTAATCCAATGTGACCCTGGGCAAGTTATTTGACCTTTCTACATTTCAGTTTTCTGATCTGTAAACTGGGATGGGAATAACCACTTATCAGGATTGCTGGCAGGATTAAATGAGGTAAAATATAAAAGGCACTATTACAGTGAAAGGCATATATACTAAGGGCTCAGCCTATGACATGGCTTATTAGTATCTGAAGTATCACTCTCCCAATCTAAAAGAAGATGAAAATGATAGTGACCAACTGTGATGAAGATCAAATATGGTAATGGAAAAAAAAAAACCCATAATGAATATAGAGGCCAATTAAAGCCAGAAAAGATGTACCACAGAAAAGGAACAATTATGACTGTGATGATAAAGCAGTTGGAGAACCTAAGTTCTGCTATTTCAGACCGTATGAGTCATCCTGAACATAACAAGTGATTTGTAAAAGCAATAAAACCTGTTGGGACTTCGGCCAATGACAACTGTAGAATTAATAAAAAATTTGACAGGAGGTCTGGTGCTCCTGAATGCAGCTGCCTTCCAAAGACTGTTGGATGACATTAGATGTTTAAAGTGACAAGACTTCAAGTGCTGCCTCTTCGGCGATTAACATTTCTTAATCCTCCCGCCTCGAGGAGGCAGCCACACTAATACAGAGATATCCCTTCCATGACAGAGGCTGCCTCTTGGTAAAGCTGAGAAGACCCTCATCCTGCTCCACCCCCTCCTTCCCTTCCACCCCCCCCCCCCAACCAGGAATTTCCCTTCCCTTCCCTTTGTCCTTCAACACTGGAGTCAGGCTAAGCGTCTCTCACCATTATCTCTGCAGTGCACAGCACCCTCCCTTCCTACATCTTACCCTTTCTCAACCTCCCTCGCTCTCCCTCCTTTTCCTCCCCTCTCCCCGCCCTCTCCCCCCCCCCCTATTTATCTCCACCCCACCCCACCACGGCCTCCCGTCCCTCCACCAGGAACCGTCAGGACCACACACTGCCTTGCAGACCCAGCTGACCACACAGAACATGTAACTCTCGGCCCGGCGGCCTTGTGGACCTGGCCCTGCACCCATTTTTAAAGGCAAATCACAAGTTCCCGAAGCTCAGGACAAACCGCATAATCAAAGATTGTGCTTTCCTTTCTCAGGCAAAGATTTTACTGGCTCACTCTCTGACAAAAGACTGGTAATTCTATCTCAAACAGGAAATCCTTTGCACACTTTGAAATGAGGACTCCAAAGCGGAAAATAACAACCAATAAAGATAATCAGGGAGTCCTTTGACCACTGGCTCCCACCATCTCCACCCCCAGGAAAAGCTTTCTACCCTGGGGGTGCGGGAGGTAATTAACCAGAAGCTGACCAGGCACATTACAAGATATTCCGGGCTTATTTTGAGTAATCGACATCATTTGCCCGATTCGACCACCATAAAAGTTGGATTTTCTTTTTTTAGCATCTCAGAAAACTCAAGCACCATGTGTCTTTCAAGCATTTTCAGATCTAAAGAACAGAAGGAAGGCACCCTCCCCCTGCCAGATCTCCCCCCACCTCCGTGGCTGTCCCTGCTCTGCAGGTATAGAAGCTGGATTCAGAGAGGGCAGGGGACAAGTGCCCTTGCATTCACCTCGTGCAAAATGCATATGCTATCTAAAAGGATCGTACTTTTATTATTTTTAAAAAATATATTATTTATTTACTTTCTGAGAGAAGGGAAGGGAGGGAGAAAGAAAGGGAAAGAAAAATCAATGTGTGAGAAATACATCGATCAGTTACCTCTTGCACACTCCCAACTTGGGGCCCAGCCCCCAACCCAGGCACGTGCCCTGACCGGGAGTCAAACAGATGAACTTTCGGTTCGCTGGCCGGTGCTCAGTCCATTGAACCACACCAGCCAGGGTGGATCATACTTTTAGACAGAAACTAGATTTCAGAAGAGAACTGGCCAGGAGACAGGGGCAGGGAAAGAAAAAAGTGGCTTGTAGTTTTAGAAGAAAAGGAGAGAACAGCCAGGAAGAATCGGGGCTAAATAATCCCAATGGTAAACCCTAGGGACCTCTGTGGCCCTTCAGGCTAAAGGCTTCAACACAGGACTCATGTTTGGACTTTCAAGTATTCTGTGTTCCCTTGGCATATAATGTTTTCAAAATGTAAACCTACGTTCAAAAAGTGGAGATTGCATGTGAAAAACAGATCTGGCAACTGTGGCCCATTTCTCCTCATGGCAGCCACAGGAGGCCCAGAGGGACGGACCGCTGATCCCCAGCGCCCCAGGTGGTCACCCCCTGACTCTCCCCATGGTCCCCACCCTTGCGACCTCTCTCCACCCAGGGCGTCACTGTTTTTCTTCTCTCCCCTGCCTTTGGGGACAGTTAAGTTTATGGCTCCTGATCAAGGCCACTCTAATGTGCCCTACAGATGAAAAATATGAAGCCACCATCGGACAGGGCAGTGACTTACTTAAGATCACACTGCTTCTCAGAACAGAACCGCTCAAGAACCCCGACTCCTTCCCACACAACCCAGCGCTTCTGAAGCTCTGTTTTTATTGCAGAATCTTGACTGAGGAAACCGGTCAGGCTGGCCTCCTTGTCTCTCAGTCGCCCTCTCCCAGCTAAACAATCTTTGACCTTAGAACGTGTAGATCTTCGAGACCCCATTGCCTTCACGGACTAGTCACTGAATCATCACGTCCTCAAGTAGCCACTTGAAGAGCCCTCCCTGCCGCCAGGCCCTGAGCTCTGTGCACACTGTTCGCCTTCGCGGTGATTCTGGGAGACGCGCGATAGCGGCACCATTTTCCTGATGAGACAGGAAAGCCTGAGGGCGAGGCCCCCAGACACGTGTGGCGGCTGAGCTGCCCTTGAACTCAGGCCTTTCTGATTCCAAAGCCTATTCCCTGGCAGCCGGCCTTGCTGTCTTGCAAATACCCACCACCGCCTCAATACAAATAATTATAATAATAAAGAGAACTTCTTTGGTCCTGAAAAGTTTAACCATAGAGTCCAGAGTGAAAGGTCAGAAAGGGGTTCCCCTCCACCTCCGACCTGGGTTTGTGACTGGGGTTTTGTCATGAACCCAGCCGTCCATACCGCACTAGAAGCGCCCTCAGGGAGGTGCCTGCCTCCCGTGTTTCTGCCTCTCTGATGTGTAGAGTATCACTTAATACTGCTTGGAGCTGTTAGTCAATGGTTTCTAGTTTCCATTTTTGATCACATTTTACTAAAATGGGCCTCTCAGGATGCACTTTGCGGCCCTTTATGGGTTCTCAAAAAGCTCCTACCTTCTCTCCTATCACTTCTCCCCTCTTCCGCTTTTCCTCACCCAGAGGGAGGAGGACACCAAAGTACATGGAATTCCCAGGTTTGTCTGGTTTTGCAAGCAGAACGATCGCAGTGTTTTCATTTTTCCTAATATTTTCCCAAAGTAAACCGGCAAAAATTCAACTCTAAGTGATTAAAAAAGGAACATATGTGCAAAGTGCTTGAGTCCTGGAGCAGGCAGTTGTTGGATAAGTAGTAGCGATCCATGAGTAACAGTAATACTTACAACCCATATGATGATCAGTCTTCTGGATAAATAAGGGTCAATATTCCAGTGAGTGAACGGAAGAAATGTGATGTAGAACACTTCCTGACCCAAAGCAGCTGAAAATCTGAATAGGTAATAGAAGAAATAATTCTTCACAATGTACTCCTGTACATAAGCCTGAAGAAAAAAAAAAAAGAGAGAAGACTGTGAGTTCATTGAACATGTTACTAGAGGACAAATTTTGAAACCTCTCTCCAAAACCCCTGGGTCTCGGTTGCCAAGGTGCCGCCTCCCTTCTGGTTATGTCATTGTGGTTTTATTGTCATCAGCGTACATCGTTGTTGAACATCTATCCACCCAATTGGTTCACACAATCACAGAAAACGTTGGTTCTTCATAAAATTAAAAAAGTAGCATCTGAGGCAGAAACCAGGAAGACGCACAAAAAAAGCCAAAACCTTTTTCCTGTGTACACAGGTGGCTGGAAACGAGAGGGAGGTGAGCCGCTACAGCAGTCACAGTACGGGTCTATGCTGGTGCTAGCAAAACAACAGCCACAGAGGTTTCTACTTACAAATCCTTAGGACCTGTCAATATGTTACCACCTTAACAGCACAAGGAACTTTGCAGATGGAATGAATGGTTTCCAGATGGAGAGGTTATCTGGGATTCTCTCAGTGGACTCAATATAGTCACAAAGATCCTTAAAAATGGAAGGAGGCGGCAGAACCATCGAGAGAGAGAGATTTGAAGATGCTATGCAGCTGGCTTGAAGATGAAGGAAGGAGCCAGGAGCCAAGGAATGCAGACAGTGTGTAGACGCTGGAAAGTGCAAAGAAACAGATTCTCCCCTGGAGCCTTTAAAAGAAATGTAGCCCTGATGACGCCTTGATTTTAGCTGAAGAACCATTTTGAACTTCTGACTCCTACAGCCATAATAGAATAAATCTGAGATGTTTTAAGCCACTAAGTTTGTGGTAATAAGTTACAGCAGCCATGGATAACTAATAGAAAGACTTAAGAAAAATCATCTGCCAATGAAAGTTTTTAGTTTACCTTTTAAGTGGGAATAAGGAGGCCAACCCGATACAGTGATGGTGCAAGAAAAGCAGTAAATACGCAAGGGGCCTGCTAGCGTGCACTCCCATTTTGTGTCCTTTCCCCCGCTTATTCTGGAGCAGAAAAAGGCAGAAAAAAAAAGAAAAGACTTAAGGGGGTTAAAGCAGGAAAAAGCAATCTATTCAAAATATGGTAAACGCCTGTAAATTATGGTATATTAGTGATGAGTTAAGAAATTAAACATGTTATTTGTGGTAGCCATAGACTTTATAAAGTCAAAGATGCCAATGTCGAAAATGGGGAGAAAAAGAGGCAGCCTTACCACCGGGTGACTCTGTCCAGATCCTTGTAGATTTGGATTTTGTTTTGTTTGTCTCAGACAAATTCTGAGGTCCTTGAATCCTGGGGGCACTCAGAGAGTCAGTTATACGCATTCATCCTGAACATCTTTGTTCTGTGCCGATGATGGCCCAGTGCCTGTGCTGGGCGCCAAGAAAATTGAGAGGAGTCGTGCATGACCTCTGGGGTCAAGGAGCTCTTTTCTGGTGGGCGTCAAAGCGTATGATAATTTTGGGCAATGAATTTTTAAAGGTCCAATACTGTGTTTGAGGCCTTGAAAAAGGCCAAGGTATGTTACACTTAAGGAATTAAAAAAAAAAAAAAAAAGATGACCTTGGAAACTGCAAGAATATAACTCTACTTGACGCTGTTGGCTGCCTTGACGCTGTTGGCTGCCTACCAAGCATGCATTCCTTTCTCTCTCCTCTCTAAAAGGTTCCTGATTTTATTCCAGCATCTCTACCTTCCCCCTCGGAGCCCTGTGACTCAGGGGGAAGCTGGTACTGCCCTCAGCTCCAGGGATGGATCTGTTTGATGGCCCAACTGGTTTGATTTGTCTCAGCCAGTCACAGAAAGTTCAAGAATTCAGCCTCAAGCCAAACAGTGCATGGAACTACCTTGTTGAAAATTACTAGTCAGGGGTGAGCTCGTGCTGCAAGCCCTAAGTTTTTCTGTCTTTGGGACAGGAATTTACTTTTAAGTTAATGCAAATGAGAGAGAATGGCAATAGATCCACCCTGAACAGGAAAAATAATAATGCATGAAATGAATTAAATAAGGAAGCGTCTACTTTCATTTCTCTGCCAAGATAATATTATGATTAGGTTTGCAAAATAAGGACAGGGGCCTGTGAACAAATAAATAAGTGACAAACTCCTGTGTTATCTAATCTGAAAACCAATCATTGTGAGTTCTATTTTGAAAATGTAAATCTAACAGGCCTGACCTTCAGGCAAACACTATAATGCAAAGAGCCCCTTTAGCGTAAAGATTACTTTAACCTGCCAGCTACCAGGTTCACCTGGTAATTGTTCTGCATTGAAGCTTTACCAGGAGAACTTGAGCAACGCTCTGACAAAGGTCAAACCTTTCCCTGTGTCTACTTCCGGTTCCCAAGTGTTGTTGACATTGTAAACACTCAGAGACAACCACTTCCTTACCCTGGAGATTTACCTAAAACAAAGTTCAAGTATCTTAATCCTGGTAAGTAACTGATAAGACCATCAAGGATGACAGCAAACTGCTCTAGTGTTTCTTCCATAGTACTAGGTAATATCTTCAGACATACTTCTTACAATCTCGCAGGAATTCTTTTGTGTGTGGGGGTGGGGGGCAGCTAAATATTCTCTAAATCTTTCAGGAACAGAAGAAACAAAGGTAAAATTTTAAATATTTGCCTATACAGATAGGACACCTAAAGGATTTTTTAGAGAACATCTCTGTTTATATGATTAAACTTGAGAGCTATTATTTACCTCCAAATTCTTGGGGGTTATTATGTATCTAAATAAAGCATTAAGTACTTTTCTTTTCTTTCTTTTTTTTTTTTTAAGAACAAGAATCTAAGTTTCCTTTGTAGGAAATCTGTGTGTATAACTTCAACATATTTTTGGAGATAAGAATTGCAGTTCCAGTGTGTGAGTTGGTCCCACTGGGTACAATTAGAGGGAGAAGAAACATGGCTTAGAAACAGAAGTGGTAGGTAAGGTGAATGGCGGAAAGAACAAGCTGAGAGAAAGGAAACCAAGTCTCAGAAGTCGCCTGATACATTTTGGTACAATTGACAACGGTGCAAGGGGCTGACCGCCCAAGCTGTGGGGCAGTGTCTCTGGGCACAGATTTAAGAGACAGAGATTAGCAGCTAATTTTTTACACAAAAGATCAAGAAGGCACTGAACATTGAGCGGGGGCTGTAGAGATTCTTTTAGAAATCGAATGCTTCTGAGTATGCCTATTATCTGTCACAAAGCCAAAGGAAGAAGTTTCTAGGAAACAAGGGATGGAAATTACTCACATACCATTCTAACTAACTGCAAAATAGCATTGACGCTCTTGCTTGTTTGTTTATTGGCTTATTTTCCTGAAAGTTAAAAACAGTATTTTCATAGTTGAAAAAGTGTCACCGCAGTCTCCCAATTCCATCCTGTGCCTTTTTGGGCATAAGTACCTCAAATGCCTGTTTTTCTAAAGTTGAGTTTTCAGTAACTTAACCCATGGGCCAGAGATGAGCTACTCGATTTTGCTGCTACCAGCGTATTCTGTGCTCTCTGCAAGGCTGGGTCAACACATAAATAGACTGGAGAGAGAGAGGGAGCCATACAGGCTCACTGCATGGGAAGAAAAAGAACAGAGAATATATGACTTCCTGACTCAGCTCTGCTCCGAACACCTGAACAGCAGTTTTGTTTGTTTTGTTTTGTTTTCCAAGCACACGCCAAGGAGTCCTAACTGCGAAGAAAAGCTGGCTAGGTCGGCGCCCCTGGTGTTCAAAGGGCTGGCCCAGACAGCAGAGGAGCGAATGCCCAGCAGACTTGGCACTGGCCCTGTTTCTGAGCTTTCAAAGTTGGAAAACAAGAAATGGTTTTTAGCCAAAACAGTGCTTGACCTTGGGGAAGTCAATTTGCCCTTCTGAACTTCAGTGGCCTGAGCCCCAAAGGACAGAGTAGCATGAGTTCAGTTGCTTTTTAATGCACAAAAACTTTTAAAACAGGACAAGGCCCCTTAAATAAAATAGTACCCCAGACCTATTATATAAAATAAGACTGAAAGTCTGTACTAATTGGTTGAAAGCGAGGGGGCCCAGAGAATCCCTATATCGGGCCAGGCCACCTCCAGCTCCCCAGCCCACCCCGCCCTTCTCTGAAACAGCCCCTTGGAGCAGGTCAGTAACAGGTTTGGAAACCATGGACCTCTACCTCTGCTGGACCTCACACACCACCGTCCGAGAATTTACCTTTGGCCCTGAGTACACGGGCTATAGGTAATACCAACCCTGAGGTCTTTTGATAAACTCTGGATCAAAAGTCACTGCAAGGTCTTATGACTTTCTCCATGTGTTCAATCAGAGCTGTAAACATAAGTACTTCCCCAAAGGTCAAGTTTGAGACACTCCTGTATCTCAATAGAGCTGAGAGAAGTTCACGCCTGGGAGGACGCCTGCCGCCCTACGCAGTTCTCTCCAGCTGGAAGCAGGAGAAAGAGCCGACTCTCTTGGGCTAAGAGAGGTCCAATAATAGAGGTCTGACTATGTGCATACGCAGTCTTGCTCAGACATAATTGTGAGACCCAAAGCTCTTTTGTAGAGCACACCAAACAGCACAATGGCTTTGTTTTAGAGAAGTTTCAGAGATGGGAGAGAAAGAAGCCAGTGAACACAGGGGGAACGAACCTGGAGAGCAGGAGGGACCCGGGGGAGGGGCGCCGCCCAGCCGGGTGGCGGGGACCAAGGACGCCGCCGGAGCCGACAAGCCTCAGACCGAATCCAGGCTGCCCCGAGCACTTACTGTCCGAATCATCTCAGCAATGCCTTAATCTCCCAGAGCCTCAGTTTCCCCTTTCACAAATGTAAATAATACTAGTACATACCACACAGGGATGTTGGGAAGCTTAAATCAGATATTGTTGACGGCGTATGCAAAGCACTCAGTTCAGAGCCTGGCAAAGAAACATCTCAGTAGGACCCAGCTGTTCGCCACTACTCACCACGGTAGCCGTGAGGATTTCTAGAAAAGGCTTCTTGAGTCTAATGTGCCTTTGTATCACCTGGATCCTGTTAAAAG